TTTTTCAAAAAAAACCTTAATTTTTTTAAATTAATTTTAAATTTTTTTAAAAAAAAAAAAAAAAAAAAAAAAAAAAAATCTTGAAAATTCATGAGTTTGAAAAGTCAAAAAATTGCTGGAAAAAGAAATTAATCTCATGAATTTTTTGGAGAAAAAAAACATGAACATTTCTGAAACTGATCTCAAATTTAGAGTTTTTTTCAAGCAAATATTTGACTTTAGTAGCTCAGAAATCTCCTTGTTTTTTCTAGAAAATTTCTGAGTTTTTTGATGTAAATTTGCTCTTTTTCTCTCATCTCCAGTGGCCCTAACACAGACTAACGCTCTTTAGAGCTGGACTCCTCTCTGTGGTTTTGGCTCCACCTGGTGGACATCAGAGTAACTACCTCGGAGCGGCACACGATGATCCGGATCAGGGTGTCTTCATCTGTTCCTGCTCCCTTCATGGCTTTGTGCAGACGCCTGGCGAAGTACAGCTGCGGGTTTTTAGCCACTCTGACTGCAGGGCGAAGAAAAGACACAACATTTACGACTTTAAACATTTAATTTAAATCTAAATGTTTAAAAAACCTTTCATCTCTTTCTTACCAAGAGCAGTGTAGCATTTCTTCAGTGTTCCAGACGTTTCGTTGTCAATAGCGTCCAGGATTTCAGTACCAGAAAGCTGCCAGTGGAAAATGATTTGCATCAGAAATAAACTTTGTGTTTGTAGCTTCAAAAAGTCATAAAAGAGATTTGAGGAAAACTGCAGAAGAGCCTGAATGAAACCGATCAACTCAAGATTATGAAATTAATCTTAGAATGACTACCTTTTTTGCATAATTTTGAATTGAATTATGACTTTTTTTGCAGAATTCTGACTGCAAACTCAGGATTATTACTTTCCTGAATTTTGAATTTAATCTCAGAATTATGACCTTCTTTCCTGAGAATTATAACTTTACTCTTCTGAGATTAAAGTCCTAATTCTAGTTTTTCAGTGACTTAATCCTCTTCCATTCTGAAATCAAGATTATTGATTCCCTCCACAATTAATCTTTTGTCTTTTACAGAGTAAATAACCGTAGTGTGAGCTGCCTGCTGATATACTGATAGTCTGAACATATAATCTGCTGAGGCTGCTAACACCTGCTCATATATCTTGAAGGTGGCCTGCAGCTGCAGGTAGTTCCTGCTGGCCAAGACGTAGCTGAAGGTGGATTCATCCGTCCCAAAGCGACCCTCGCCGGCCTGCAGGACACCGGCGATTATTAATAAAGCTGATCGTCATTGATTGTAGATTTTTGTTAATGTGAGGATGGAAGCGGCACCTCGAACAGAGCGGTGGCATCTTGCTCCGCCAGATCCTCGTCCACATCGTAAGTCTCGTCTCTGTTTCCCTGTAAGGAGAGCAGATGTGAGGCTCCATGACCCCGTAGTAATCAGAGTCAGGCTGGACTGAGGCCAGTGTGTGTGTGTGTGTGTGTGAGAGAGAGAGAGAGTGTGTGTGTGAGGGTCATGACGGGGTGCAGTGAGAGTGAGCTCCGTTTCACTGCAGGAGTTGAGTTTCCTGCGCTGAGTGGAAACTCCGTACCTGCAGCAGAGCCATGAGGAGGTTTCTAACGTCTCCGCTCGTATCGCTCTCGATATCCGCTTCCAGGTCACGCTCATGCACTAAAAAAACACAAAACAGGAAGTTTTCATCTTTCAGGTGACCTGTCATTCTTCCTTGAACAGATTACGATTGATCTACTGGCAATTCAAAACACGTTTGTTACATTTTTTGCACAAAATTATTCCTAGATAGTGAGATTTTAGTCTTTTTTAGCACCTTTCAGAATGAGCTGTTTTAGAGGGTCTGGCCCTTTAAATCTAAATAATCTGCTGATGGCCACGCCCCCAAGCTCAACCTTACACTTGCATGTGAAAATGGCTGCTAACAGATTCATAAATATACAACCGTATATCTTTGAACAGCAGAAGTGGAGCCTCCTGCACAATCAGCAACAATGTAGCAAGTGGTTTCTGGATGGTAAGTCAACAATAAACCACTTGTCTTTTTCCAGCAGCCATTGTACATTTCATTTACATTTTATTGCTGTCTCCATAAATTGCATTTAATGATGTTAAATAAAAAACAAAGAAACTATCAGAAATGTTATTTTTACTATTTTCTCCACTATTTGCTCCACATACAGCAGAAAAACCAGCTGATCAAACATGCTGGATTTCCACTGGGGTTGCTAGTTAACAGGAATATGACTTAGGATTTTGAAACGGCTCATTTTCCAGACACCAAAAATCGTCCGGGTGGGGATTTTTAAGCCGTTGGACTGTTTTTAGAATTAGCTGCGACTCAAATGGAAGAACAAAATCGTAAAAAAATTGAATTTTGCATTATACACCCACTTTAAAAAGATGTTTTAATTTTATAATCAGCTCTAATTTGATGAATATAATACATTTCTCTGTCTGATATCTAAATTCTTCTGTTCTTCCTTTGCATGCAGAAACAAACCTAAACAACAAACCCTTCCTCATCCTCATCTATGGCTCCTGCGTCATAATCTGAGTCCTAAGATTCTTTATCACTTTGTAAACTTTAAAAACTGTAAAAATTGGTAGGTTGAAGTAAGTAGGTATTTTCTTGAAGCCACATCAAGCAGAAATCCTTAAACACAAAAGTATTTAAAAAGTGTTGGACGTGAATAATTTGTTCCAAAAATGATTTCCAGATGAGTAAAAAGTAAATCAAACATTTGAAGCTTATGAGGAACTCATACACTGAGAGTCTGTTGGAGCAGCAGAGACGCCTGAAAGCTGAACCTTATAATTAACTGAACTGACAATAACTGCTCTGCTCTCTGTCATTAGATGACTAGTCTGTATTTTTCATGCATACAAAGCCCCACCCCATAAACAGTTTAATTTAACTAAATCAAACTCAGTGTAGTGAAAAAAATGAAGCATTTTTACTCGTTCATGCTGATCTGAAAGGTTTGGCTAGTTTTTAAACTTCAGTGTTAAAGGAGAAGTTGGAGCCGGATGGGCTAAACAAAGCTTCACTCAACAATAACCAACCATTAGTCACTCTGACTCATTTCCTTTAAAAGCTGACAGGAAATACTGTATGAATAGTATGAATTATAAAAATGCACAACTTACCCTGAAAGTAGCATTCCTTAAACAAGGCGATGTCCTGTTGACAGGAAACAGAAACGCAAATATTAGGAAAAATTTTTTCTCAAATTACTGACTAGCTCCACTAATATGAACCTGCAGACAGAAAGTGGACCGGTTCTTATTCTGGAACGGTGCTGCTCATATCACATGTATCCAAATATTGTCCTCAAGTGAGAGTCAAAAAGTGTTTGGTAAAAAATTTACTCAACTACTGAGTAAATGATCAAATTATTAATCATTTAATGTTTAATAATTACATCATCAGATGGACCAAAATGTAAAGTTAAGTGGAAATTTTGGTATTTTAAGGATCAAAATGAAAATAATTCATTTAAATAAAAAAATAACAAAATCAGGCAAAAGAAATGTTTCCAAATCAGTTTCTTTCAATAAAAAACGTTAATAAAACCTGCAGGTCTGTGTCTGGTGAACTTTTGGTTAAAACATTTTTGTTTTTCATTCAGTGGATAGAAAATCCAGAAATTTTACTCAAGTACGAGTAAAAATACCTCATAATAAAATTACTAAAGTAAAAGTAAAAAGTACAGCGCAGTACAAATACTCCTAAAAGTATTTTTTTTTTCTAAAAAGGTACTTAAGAAAATGTAACTGAGTAAATGTAACTAGTTACTTTGTAACTGTGGCTGATAGTGGCTGCATGTTGAAGAAGCTCTGATACTTTAGCTCTGATTTGTTTTGTTCCTATCATTATTTTCATTATGTCCAAAGATGATGTTGCCTGTTCACACATTTGAAATGTCATAAATCAAAAATAAAACAAACAAATCTGTTCAAGAAAAACAGCAAAAAACAAAAATAAGAAGCTGCAATATCCAGACTACATAACGGTGCACACCCTTAAACTATCATGTTACTGGTTCATGTTTTGATTCGATTCCAGCAAATCAATTAGAATAAATCTGATTAGGCAGAAATAAAATTAAGTGGACCAGGCTGAAATTTCCTGATATCTATGTTTGCTAAGGCCACAGTGTGGAGATGTTAAATAGCATCAAAAGTATCAGTCTGGAGAAAAGCAAGAAAACAAAAACAAACAAAAATCACAGCCATCAATTCTCCTGAATTGATAAAAACAAAAAATGAAAACTTTCTGGACTGAGAAAATTTTCAAAGAAAAAAAATTAAACATCCAGGTCAAGTTAAAACCTCAAAAACTTTCAAGGAAGATGAATTATGATTTTAAAAAATACCAAAGAGATGAAATTCTTAGCAAAAACTACAGGGTGTATGAGAAAAGAGAAACAATCAAAGCAACAAAAGTTTCTCCATTTTTTTCTAGAGTTGCTCCAAATTATTTTATTATTGTGCAAAAAAAACAAACCTGAATGTGCAATTCACACAGAGTAAGGAAGTCAAGTACGGAAAGAAAGGAGATTATCTTAGGATACTCCAGAGGATCCGTAAAGAGTTGTGTTAAAGTTAAGATGGCGGCTCACAGCGTTGGTGGCGGTGCAGAGGATTTCCACCAGGACGTCCTCGTCGGTTCCCGGTCCCTTCATGGCCTTCCTGAGCTCCTTCACGGCGTAGACGACGGGCGGATCCAGCATGGCCAGGATGGCGTTCTCGAAGTTGCCCGCTAGTTCACTCTTCAACACATCCACCAGTTCCTGACATGCGAAACAATAAACAGAAAGGATCTAAAGATACGCAGAGAAATGACGCGGGTTTTCTTTAGACGTTAACGGAGGAAGTCACTCACATCGTCGTATTTTTCAAAATAAGCCGCCTTGATTTCCTGCCGCTGCGCTGAGCTGCGGTTAGCCAGGATGTCAATGATGGCCTGCTCATCGGTTCCTGAAAGAAAGACCCAACGGAGCAGAACGAGGCGGGAATAAAACCTCAAGATCATCAGTTATTCACACCTTTCAACATTTATCTCATTACAACCAAAAACATTTTATTTATTTTGAATTAAATTTAATTCACTAGTTTATTTATTTTTACAAATAAGTGTGGATTTAAGTTTGGACTTTGACTAGGCCATTCAAACACATGAATATACTTTGACCTAAACCTTTCGATGTTTAGGATCGTTCTCCTGCTGGATGGTGAAACTGTATAGAGGACAAATTGTGACAAAATTTCCAGCAAATGTCTTTATAGAGTAAATAATGTGCCAAATGTTGTAGCCAAAAAATAAAAAAAAATTAAAATAAGACTTATTTTATTCTACAGTGTAAGATAAATTCATATTTATTATTTTCAACAGTATTAATTTGACATTATTACTAAAATTTCAATTCAATTCCAGTTTATTTAATCATGTAACAGTAAACAATGTTATATGATAAAAATAAACAACTGTTGTTTTGTATTAAGGTTCCTTATTTATATTTAATTGTCCATTCTACTTCCAATCATACTCTTATTAATTAGTTACTTTTCTAATTTGTCTTTTTTTATTTAATAACTTTTTTCCGTTGTACAAATATTTCCACATTTCTTTTTTTTGTTTTTTTCCCCGACTCTTTGCAATAATGACAGCACAAAGGTTTGAATAAAACTTTCATGTACAAACGTTCAACTTTTGAAAATTTTAATGTTGTTTGTTCTTGCGAAAATAAAAAGGTAATCTCATAAATATGATTTACAATATTTGAAACCTACCGAACCCTTTGCAGGCTTTGCGGATGGCCTTGATGTCTGCCACCACGTCAAATTCCTCGTAGGGAAAAACTGTGGGCTGCAGGAAGATAACAAGGCTGTTATGCAACAGATACTGATTAGATCAAACTAATTATCATTTAAGCCGAGATTCAGAGCTGCATGAAGCAGCAGGCGGGTTGGGGATGTACGGTTAAGGCCTCAGGTTGAAGAATTCAGGCCCTAAAGTCCAAAAACAAACCTGGTTGGGTGATAAAGGTAATTATCAACCAAAAAAAGGGTTTTTATTTCAAATTAATGGTCGCAGAGAGTAACATACAGAACAGTTTCACTTTCCTTTTCCATACCGTTAATGAACAATGACTTTTTATTTCGTACTCTCTCCTAAGAATGAAAACCACAGTTATTATTGTTTGTCTTATGAATGTTAATGAAATTATTTTCACTACTTCAAAGCAAAATAAGGCACACACATGGAATGTCATAAGAGAAAGTTTTTAATCCATAATTTTAGATTTTAGTCATAATTTTGAAATTTTAACTACAAAATCTTTCTTTATTTCATTTACCATGACTTGAACCTCAAATTTTTGAACTGAAATATCACAATAATAAAATTAAATCTTAAAATAACTGCCTTACATCTCCTAATAAGGACTACATCCCTAAATTATAACTATATTTCTTGATTACGACTTTATTTCCAATTAATTTAATTAATATTTCCTATAATTAATGATTTTTTAAAAAACATTTTACTTTAATCTCATAACTGTAATTTTGTCATCATTCTGACTATTTTATGTACTCATAGCTTTATATTTACAGTAATAATTAACTTTAATATGACTATATTTACTCTTTTTGACTTTAAAACTAACCTACATTTTTGCAATTATGACTTTAAAGCTCCTCTTTATGAATATAAACGCCATAGTTACGAATTTTACAGTCACAATTATTACTTTTATAGCAGGTTTTCACGCTTACATATAATTAACTTAATGAAATATAATAATTAGAACCTCATCATTACTAAGAATTAAAATCTATTTACGCTAACTGACTTTAAACCTCATAAAGAAACTACTTTATTTTCTTTACGTAGCTTACGTAGAAAAGAGCCCTAAACCCCCACTAGTGGGATCCACAGACCCCCACTAAGCTAACGGAGAGGCATTCCGCAGAGGAGTGGCTGTTTCCTCTGACACGGCGTCTGTCTCACGGTGACTCTTAAAGAAACATCACTTTTTCATATAAATCAGAAGCTCTTTACTTCCTCAGCAGCTTACGCAAAAGCGTAAAATACAGTCTCTATGCATTATCCGTCACGTCACACGACGCACTTAGCAAAACCCAACGGTTAAAGGTTGAGATAACATCAGAACTGAGATAAATATGATAGTTTTCGGAGATAACACTAAAAAACGGAGCCTACTTACTTGACAGTTGCCCATTTCTTTTCCTGCGGTAGCGGATGAAGTGGTCGGCGGCGGTGGGTCTTTGGGAAAAATCGTCCCCCCGTCGCGAGTCCAAAGTGCGACCCGAAAAGCAGTGGGAGCCGGAGCGTGACGTCACCGCGGACCGTCCGTTAACTGTTACGTTCCCTTGTGACGTTTTCCCCGGCCGGAGCTGCTGGCTTTGAAACACAGGCATGAAAACCTCAACTATCCCTTTTTAAACTACCTCTCTGCTCATTTTATTGGAATAATATTGACATATAAAGTCAATATACAGTATTTTACAAAAATGAAATAAAATACTAGATTCAATTCATGGCCGGCTTAAGCCTTTTTGAGGCCCAAAGCAGATTTCCATTGGATTTCCCCCATACTAATATATTAACACCTCATTCTTTATCATTCCTAATTTACTGTATGTGTGTAACATACCTATTAAAATTAGCATAATTTATAATTATTTTAAATTATACCAGTGTTATTGTGGCTTGATTGTAATTTTAATCAAATGAAAGTAACACCAACTGATACATTTACAGAAAACAAGTTAACAAGTCATCTTATATTTCAGCAACTAACAGCTGGAAGTAATCAACCTATTATTTGAGTAACAACTATAAGAATAAAGTATAAATACTAGTTTTTCCATGTATAACAGTATTCGGACATTTCAGCAACAAGGCAATTTAATGTGATTTACATCATAAAAACAAATAAAATACAAAGTCATAAAATACAAGAAATATGAATAAGACATGCATTTATTCAAGCTATTTTCAGTTCATTTAATATGCAATGCCGCCATATAGGGTGTTCAGTTCCCAACTTTATTCAAGCTATTTTCAGTTCATTTAATATGCAAGGCCACCATAGGGTGTTCGGTTCCCAACTTTATTGAAGGCGGAATGTGGTACCAGTCTATGGAAGAAACAAAGGGCGCATTGAGAATCTGTAGACTGTAATGTCATGCTGACAAAGCACCCAGACTCCTGTTTGGACCTCAAACGCATCGTATTGGGAGCCTGACAACCTCCTGCTGTCAATAGACACAGACAGAGGATTGTTTGTCAGCCGATCCAATGCAACGTGTGGGGAAGTCAGAAATAGTTTTAGTTTTAAAAATCTACAGTGTTGGTGGGAACGTGTAACTGTAAAAATCTGTCTGAAAAACTGCTTTGTCTATTTTGGAACACTCTAGTCCTCAAAAATATAAGGTAAAGCAATTACAGTAATCACAGAAACAAAAAAATAACAAACAAACAAACAAAGAGCACCTCTTGTGGTCTTAAATATTAACTATAACTTTTGGACTGGTGGCTATACAAAACAAAAAATGAAAGACGAAATAAAAAGAGACAAAACTGCAGGACTTGGTTTATAAACTGACATTATAAGGGGCGACAGCACCATCTGGTGGCCATATTTAGTCACTGCAGCTTAAAATGAACGTTTCCTCTTGTTTAGGGCCTGACGAGCTACTACTGTTAAAAAACTACAATGCATGCGGCAACGTATGAATTTACAAATCACTTATCAAGACTTTGAAGTGTACGGAAGAGGATTAGAGCCACTGCAAAAATAAATTCTGACTTTAATCTCAGAGTTTTTAATTTTCTTTTTCTCAAAATTCTGACTGTGTTCTCATATGATTCAAAAAATTAAAAAAAATTGTATTTAAGATTTTTAAAAATCAGATCTTTTTAAACATAATTTATGGGATTAATTATTTTTATTTTTCTCATCTTCCCTCCAACTTCCTGAGGCCCACAGCGCCCCATGGTGGCTCCAACTTTGAGAAACACACGGAGTCACGTGATTCCGGAAAACCAGCTGTCCATCCATGTTATGATTTACTTGAATTACTCTCATCTGTTCATTTCTTAACAATAATTTCCTTCATATTCTTTGTGTCTCTTTTTTGTTCCAGCTTTCCTAAAATCTAAACCATTACGTTTCCATTCATGCAACAGGATTTGTCTCCTTTTCTCCTTGGCGTCTCATGGCGCCTTCACAGATTTAAAAAAAAAAAAACATATTTAAAGTGTAAAATCATTTTAGCTGAAGCGTACTTTATTTTATGGAGGGTCCAGTTCAGTTCCTATAGAAAAAGAAACGAATAAAAGTGTTCAGTCTCCTCCATCGACAGTAAAGAAGGAGCCTTTCTGTGAGAGACTCAGCTTTCCATTTAGCTCCTACTGTAGTAAAGCCCACTCACAATAAGACAGTCTTCCCCCAGGCCTCCTTTCTGCGTGTGTGTGTGTGTGTGCGAGAGAGAGAGAGAGAGAGAAAGAGAGAGAGAGAGAGAGAGAGAGAGAGAGAATGGAGGCGGCATCAATATGGAGGCAGAGACTTCTGCACCGACTTTCAGTCTGATGACAGAGCTTTTATAACACGTTAATAAAATAACCGCTATTAGATCACATTTCCGGTTTTCTAGGCACATTTTTTTTTTGTGCCAAATTTCGAAAAGCCTAAATTCAAAATGATCAAACTTTTTATCACGTTACAACCACTAAGTTCAATGTGACAGAACCAACAACAAAAAATGTGTCACTTCCGTAAACTTTGTGACTGACAGCCGTCTTGGAAGGCAGTTGCTATGGAGTTGCTATGACAACAATAAACGAGCCACAAGCTTAGATCACCTCGTTCACATCAGATAGACAATAAAAGTATGTTACAAGTATTACTCGATTACAACTTTTTGAGTCCGTGTAATACTAAGATAAATATCAGATATTTACTGTAGTACATACTGCCGAACTAGCGAAATTAGCTTAGTAGCTTATATGCTAGCTAAGACGGACATGTAGTCTACATGTACGTTACTTCTTCAGTCACCGGAACCCTGTTATTCACATGAAGATTTCGTATAAGTCCATTATAAGTCCGTTTAAACACTAAGTGTATTTCTTATCACTTCCGGAAGTGATCCGCCATCTTGGAAGAGGCAAGCGCAGCGCAAAACGTAGATGAACCTTGGCTTCCAGACCAACAAAAAGAAACCGTATGAAAAGATCACATGACTCACATCACAGGAGTCATGTGATCAACTACATTACGTACTACTGGCAGAAATGAAGAAAAAAACTACAGGAAGTGGGAGGAAGATGATGGCATGGCATGTTATTTAGTGAATTATCCTGTCAACAAACTTATTCCCATGTGATTTTTAATAAAATTAATGGAAACACCATAATTGCTACATTGTGTTTTTTTTCAATGTTAGTGCACATTTGTAATGGAAACGCAGCTAATGACAACCTGGACAGGTCAGGTCTGCATATTAGTAAAATACATATTTTAAAATGAAAATGAATGAAGTTCCTGTAAATAAATTATAATCTGTGCCATTTTGTGTGTGTGTCATATGGTTGTACGAATGATGTTGCATAATCTTGCAAAAAGTAAAAAAATAAATAAAATAAAATCTAATTTTTGATCAAAATATTTGTTTGGCGGGGAAAAAATGTCAAAAGAAATCAATGGTGTCAGACCCTTAAGGTACTCAAAACAACTTAAATACAATTTTAAAATGTACCTAAAACATTTTTTTTTGTTCTATACCTTCAGACTTCAGTGTTTTCACACATGACAGTCCAGTAAACTCGGTTTGATTAAGATCCAAAATTGCAACATTTGCTTAAACATAAGCAGAATATTGACAGTTTTGCGTATATTTGTAATGGAAATCCAGCCACCGGTCCAATAAATTAATACGTTTTTGTCGACATTTTGTTGTTTCTATTTGGACTTCTCACCATGTTAGAGTTTCTAGAGCCGCCCCTGACTGACATGTTGGGTTCACCGGCAGTAGCATCAGCGCTGATGTGCCAATATTTGCGGAGTTCATCTCCAGAAATATCACATCTCATTTTGGGCCAAATCCATTATGTTCGTCAGTCGACATTAGAGAAGAGCCAGAAATGGCCCTTGTCCTGTCAGCCACTGAGATAAATTGCCTATTAGCCCTTTGGGTTTATAATTTGGTGCAATCAATCACTGAGCATGAATAGATGCCAACCGGAGGCTCGTCACATTTCGAATGATAAAAGCCTCGGAAAATGTGTTGCGAGATGTGTTTAAACAATGTCCTGTGGTGTTTGTCATGAATATGGAAAGACTTTTCAAAGAATGACATTCTGCAACAGACAGCACCGTCTTTTATTGCAGCAAGAAATCAAACCAGTACATTTTATTTCATACATTTATTTCAATCATTTGCAATGAAAAAAATAACAGGAAAAAAGGAAGGAATATTTTGGTTGCTGCAGAGTCATTGTCTGATAGTCGACCACCTACTGCGCCTCCTGGAAACAACCTCTCAGCCTGGTTTCCACGTCTGATTTTAATCCTGGCTGTGTTTTATGTGCGTTTAGCTCACCGGGTGCCCACTTGCTGCCTTTTATGACTGCGGTTTGAATAAAACCTGCTTTTCTCCCTCCTGTCACCATGCTTTGCTCAGTAAAGGATTGTTGCACAAAGTGTTCAGCCCACAGTCTGTCACAGCCCTCCTCCTCGTTGCTGTTTGTGTTGCGTTGCCTTCCTGGCTCGTACAGATAACAGACAGATTTGGAGAAAACATCAGGGAAGGCTTTACACCTGAGCGGTTTCATCTTTAAACCACCTGCTCTGGTTTCTGTCGTCACATAAAGGCTACTGCTACTTTTCGTTGTCTTGAGAATTAGGTATTTTGTTCTGCAGTAAAATGCTGGTCCAATATTTTACCCTCATTTAACTATAGGTCTAAATTTAAGGAGGAGGAAAAATAAAGAATTCTGACTTTAATCGACCACATAACCAAAATAAATCATTCAAATCCAACATGTTCCTCCAGAAAGTGAGTTATTTTCCTGCATCACTCGATCATCTGTCATTTAACTCTGTTGCTCCAAAGGGCCATCAGCATTAAAATCAGAAGGAAAAAGGTTGAATTCCTAGAAAAGTATCTCCAAATTCTAAGAAAAACGTCAGAATTCTGAAAAAAAAATCAGAATTCTGAAAATTTTTTTATAATTTCGAGATTAAATCATAAACAGAGAAAAACGTTTTTATTGTTAGAAAAATTTCAGAATCCTGAAAAACTTGAAAATTCAGCAAAAAAGAGTTAGAATGAGATTTAAAA